CCAAGTGCCATGCATGGTACTGACTTGTGCCTTTTTCCTGCAGGTAACATTTGATGTGGCTTGGTCTCCTGCATGCATAGATAGAAGGTGTTACAACTATACTGGGATTGCAGATGCGTGTGACTTTTTATTTGTGATGTCATATGATGAACAGAGCCAGATCTGGACAGACTGTATTGCAAAAGCCAATGCTCCTTACCTGCAGACTTTGGCTGGTGAGGACAAAACACCTCGCCGGGAGTCAGGACATTTCCATTTGTTCACATGAATAGATGGCAAAGACTGCCTTTTCTTTTTTGGTTGTGTAAGGCTTTCTCAAGTGTGCTCAAATATGTGTTGTTCTAATGTGAAATAGTATCTCAGACCCTTATGACACTACAGGTAGACCTTTAGTAGTTGTGTGTTGTCACTTGTAATTGTCTAGGTCTTTAATTGTTAGGAACACATTTAGAATGACAAACGGCAGCCCAAGCAATGGTGTCTACCTGGGCTTGCAAAGAACTGGAAACATGTCTCTCAACCTTGTGAACTGCTACTATGGGCAGCTGGTTTTAAGTGTGAACAGCTAGAGCAGTAACTAAAATCTGAACCGAACAGGTCTAGGAATATGCAGGTGGGAGGTACAGCAGAGCTTGCACCTCAGCCTCTGTCTGGGAGCATCCAAGTCCTGTCTTGACTCTGGCTTTAGATTAGTTTTAGGAATAAAAAACGTGGAAATGCAATAGTGCATCTGAATTTGTATTTCCTTCAAAACTAGGATATGAAGAGTACATTACTATGGGCATTGATCCTAAGAAGCTTGTGATGGGTGTCCCCTGGTATGGCTATGACTATGTCTGCCAAAACCTATCTAAGGTAAGATGAAGATTATTTATTTGCAATCATACTGTTACCTTTTTTTTGGAAAGAGATGCCTAGAATTTGGTGATACGGTTTTTGGACTAAGAAATAACTGTGGTCTGATGAATAGAGAGTATAAAGCTGGGGCTCAGGACAGAGGCTTTTGATGGGCTGGTAACTGATAAGCAGTGTGGTACCAAACAAGGCGTTTTATCTCTCCGTAGGCAACCTCAACCCCATGATACCCAAGCACCGTGTTTGACTAAGGAGCTGTAGACATTATCTGTAGAAGAGATGATGTCCAAAGGCACCACAATGCTTGTATCTGTCTGCCTTCTCAACAGAATCACTAAGCTCACTGCTTAAAGACTAGGTGCAACGAACCAGAGAGTGCTAAAACCATATGACTGTTAAAAGTATGGCAGTTTAGGGATAAATTATGCAGTCTCAAACATTGTATGTGGGACAAACGTAACAGAGTATTAAAGGGGAAAAGATAAGACAACTGTGTAAGCTGAGTTATGTCCATCCTATCTTCTATTACTACACAATAAACAAAATCTGTTTTAATTAAATCTGTCCATACATACAGGTATTTTTGAAGAGTTTGGATTTTTTAGACCCGTTTGTGATTTCGTTTTTGGCTGTACTGCTATTTTGGAGTTCAGTAAATCTGTGTAAGGTGAAACTCATACCTTCTGCTTTTTTTTCAGGATCATGTTTGCTCCCTTTCCAAAGTACCTTTCCGTGGGGCTCCTTGCAGTGATGCTGCAGGGAGTCAGGTCCCCTACAGAGCAATCATGAAGCAGGTGAACAGTTCCCTTTCAGGGATCCTATGGGATGAGGTACAGAAGTCTCCATTTTATGAATACAAGGTAAGAGTCTTTTTGTAAGACACCATGTTGTGGAGTAAATGTTCATGAACCATAGTTCTTTGATTATGAAGGGTTAGGTTCTCCTGTTTGTTTTCTACATTTTTTGTGTGTAGTAAAAGTTATCTGGATTTCTGTCTCTTAAATTTCTGTTCTGAAAGAGGGGTGCAGTGACTGAAGACTACAGGAGTAATAAAAATCTTTATTACCATGCAGTTTTCTCAAGAGATTCTATCATGTCAAAAAAGACGTTTTGGCATAAAGAAATCCTATAGCTCCGTTCTTCACTGCTACAGCTACTTTTATTAAGTTGATGACTTCAGAACAGATTCTGAGGTGCTCTTAAGTTTTTCCAACGCAGTGGCTTGAATGCATGTTCTCGAATGATTATGCTTACATGAACTACACAATGTATGCATTTCATCTTGTGTCTGTAGACATAATTTGAAGTTTCACATGTAGATGATTAAAAGGTGTTGTAAGCAATGACCACGTCAAAGCAACATTACTTTTACAAAATTCTATAACCTTCTCTAAAACTGCTTATTGCTGGAAAAAAAGCACTGAATCTCTAACTAAATTCACCTGTTAGGTTAGATAGTGCGTCTGGGATTTTAGCTGATTCAAAATCATATTAAAATACAAATTAGCACAGTCTTTTTATTTAAGTATTTATTCAGTAAGATGTGACACTGTTTTATAAGTTAGATTCTACAAGTAAAAAAAATAGCCACATATTTGACTTTCAATTTTAAATTGTGTGTAAAAAATCATTTGTAAATCAGGAAAGCGTCATTATGGAAATCTATACAGCTTGTGTATCTCTGTTTTTACTTGTACTTTTTACTGCATTCAACAGAAAATGCAGTCAAAACTCAATGAACTTTAATTTATCATGTTTATATAGATAAGTAGATACTGACACGAGTGTTTAAATATTTCCTAGGATTCTCTTGGTCACTTCCACCAAGTATGGTATGATGACCCTCGCAGCATCTCTCTAAAAGCAGCATACGCAAAGAATCAAGGTTTAAGAGGCATTGGCATGTGGAACGGAAATAGTCTTGACTATTCCAGGGAAGCTGTAGCAGAACAACAAACTGAAGCCATGTGGCAGGCCCTGACACCATAAGAACTATTTGAACCCTTGATTTAAAATGGTGAAAATTGGTAATTTTTTATTATGGCTTATACTATCATAATTTTGGCTTTATATAAAAATACCATGATTAAAAAAAAAATTGAGAACCAGCCCAGTTCATCTTGTTATTTTGTAAGCAAAGCCTTATTTTCATGCTTCCAAAAGTTCCAGTGTTCCTTTAGCAGTGTGTTTTTTTAAAGCCTGCTCATCGTTTTCATTTTTCACAACTACAGTAAGCTGGTTGAAGCTTGAACCCAGCGTGTACCTGGTAACAAGTAAATCCAAGCGGTGGATTTACAGGGGCAATCTCCTAAAGATCCTTTGCTAAGGCTGCCTGGTGCAGCAAGTATTGATTCTGGGGTCGCATGGTGCAGCTTTCCGACTTCCCACCCCAACTTGTATTTTACATAAGTAAGTCACTTGCAGATCAGATTAAACTCAGAATACTGGAGACACAGGCTGTTGCTTATATGCAGCTTGGTGAAATTTGTGCTTGTACTTGGTTGCTTTTCTAGAGATTAAAATATTTTATGGACTGAAGAAATTATATAACATGAAGTAGTTGCCATTAAGGTTTCTATCAGGCTTGCTGCTGGAAAAGAATGCTCAGTAAACTCCAGTTTCACCATGTTTATGTATCAGTAAATTCCTTAGTTTCAAAAGCCAAAAATCTTGGACCTTATCATGAAGAAGGAGCATTAACAGGGAGAGGACTTGGATGATGTCTTCTTCCATTGCAAACTTCTTTACTTCCTGAAAACTAGAACTCGGAAGCTTATTTAATGAGCTGCTAATTTCCACACACTTTAAACTTTATTCAGTAGCCTGTTGTTACTTGTTTTTTGTGCAGTATTGCCTTTGAGATGAGATGTATTTTCTTTCTAGTTCATATTTTTCTTAAAATAATTAACCTAGAGAAATTGGCTAACTTTTTAAAATATATGTAGTGGTAGAAAGATTGGTGTTTACAGGATTTTTTTTTGCTAAATAAAATGCTTTCTTCATTAAGATTGGTAAACAGCATTGGCTGTTTATGATTTACTTGTTCCACAGCTTACAGCCCACACTGCTTCTCTGCTTCTCAGGCCTCTTTCACAACCAGATTAAAGTGCCCTGCTTAAGTTGACTCCATTAATTAAACATTTTATTTAATTAGATATATGTTGTCAGTTGTGGGTTGGTTTGGGGTTTTTTTTGGTTGGTTGGGTTCAGCTTTTTCCCCTTGGTGAATATTTACACCACAGAATAGCAGCATTACCATAATGGCTACTGAGGAGAAGACTAGAAGACTTCATATGAGTGTCTGACCAGTTGCTATTACTGAAAATGGAAAGCAGACCAGGAAGCATACTGCTCTCATATAAGGAAAAGCAATCTCTTGGAAAATCAGAAGGCTCTCTGCTAGAACTAGTTAGGAGAAACTGTTAAATTTACCTGACATACAGACACTTCAGAATTTGTATTACTATTTATATTCATATGGTAACATACTGAGAGAGAGATACTTTTGAAACTGAGAGGTCTTCTGGAGTGGATCATCTGACCTACAGATTCCTAACTGAAGGCCAAATAACTTTAGAGATTTAATACTTTCCCACTAAAATATTTGGTAAATCCTATCTTGAAGAAAATAAATTGGAAAAAGGGTGGTTTGTCTAAGACGTTTGAAATTAGTCCTTTTGAGAGTTGCATAATTTTCTTGGTTTATTACTGATTTCCCATTAGTGTTTCACTTCCACCAATAAATACAGCCTTTTATGTGACATTAATTCCTAGCATATTATTTGTTCTGCTTAAGATAATAACATTGGGTACTGCAAAGAGGCAAAGATGAGAGCTAGAAAAAGAGAATTGTTATCTAAGCACATTCATGAGCTTGAATTTAAAGAAAGGCAGAATATGCAATACTGTAAATTGGACCAGGATCATCATCATAGCTTGTACAAGACATAGCTTGCTGCCTCTATTAACTACATAAGATGGTTAATGTCCATGTGGCTTTCTTAATTAGGGAACAAAAATGGTTAGATATGAAATAAAGTAAGAGCATCTGAGATTTTGTTCATAATATGGCAATTTATAGATAAGCATACTTATAGTGACAAAAATGCATTTCAATAAATAGCTAAATAAAGGATTCTTGATGGTGTAGTTCTACAGAAGATTGATTTTAATCATTTTCCAAAAATGTGTGTGCCTGAAAATAGGAACAGGAAGTTATAGATTATAGGTTTATTTTCTTGGTAGGTATTTTGTTAATGAAAGAACATCAGCATACCAATGTGATGTTACACAATTCACTAATTGGCACTTTTAAAATCACTTTGTTTTAGACATGTTACTAGGTTAAACTGTATATTTAAGTAGCTGACTAATGTTATATTAAAAGTGAGATGTAAAAAGTGAGCCGCAGTACCTCAGTACCCTATTATACAAATTCCACAACATTTATATAGTTGGTGTCTTTTTACAAGATAATTTCAAGAACATACAGGCAAATGTTCTGTAATTCTGATCTTCTATAAACATTACAGAGCTTCTGGGGACTTTATGGCTGTTAAAGCATGCCATCCTCTTAAATCCCTCATTTTCTGGACCGGCGAATTAAAGCTGAATGAATCTTCTTCTGTGTCAGTTCTGCTCTCAGCACTCGTAAATCAGATGCTGCCTGCTTTCTCATCTGCAGAAGAACCAGTAGTTTAAGGAATTGCAATTTAAGGAAATTTTTGGAGTTGACATGCATATGGGTTTATATAACTAAGACTGAATTTTACACAGGATGGCTGAATACAGGATACATCTTTCATTCTTAAAATTACATGTCTAATTAGGTAGCCTAGTTCTAGCAATACTTTCTTCTGTAGTGGTCTGGTGTTTTTAAGAGACAACTGTGCAATTCATTGTTCTTTCCACTCCTTGTTATACAATGGAGGAGGCATAATGAGTACATCCAGCCTCCATTACACAGTAAACAGGGGCATGGGCAGTTCCTGTGATGTAGAGGCCTCCTATTTCAAGCACTCAAAGCTGAAAAGCTGTCCAGTATGAAGGTCTATACCATTATCTTCCTTCCAAAGGGAGCCATAGGCAGCACTGGTATGGAATAAAGCAGATGAAGAGGACTGCTCTCTGCTTTGAGAGAGATTCTCTTTTTTAATTTTTTACTTTTTTATTCTTAGCCACAGTCTTAATACTGACCAGTGCCTCATCAATATGTTCCTTCAGTTACCTCTTAAGTGAAATGGCATTTTATGAAAGACTGTGAAGCTTAGCCTACATAGTAACTCGAAAGTCTAAGTTGGTTGAATGCTAGACATTCAAAATCATTTAATAACCTGGTGTTCTGGAGAAATTTGGCTCAAGTGATAAAGTTACAATGGCAACTAACACCATAAAGCTAACACATAAAACAAAAACTCTTTAGGAAATCATTTTATGTTTGGGAAGATCTAAGGGTTTTTTTATACATAGTAACATTTTGACTGTTTTAATTAAAAGGCAGAGCACCTTAATTACTATTACAAGTTTCATTTTTGTATCATCCAGCTTCCTCCTCAGTAGAACGAGTTCAGGCTGCACTGTAGTAATCTGGATGATTGTATAATTCTGTATTGAAAAGAACAGAAATAACAAAAGGTAAAAGTACAGCATTAGTGCATTTGACCACTCAGAAACAATTCTCTAAACTCATTCCAGCTCCCCTACTTTCCTCCAGTTGTCAAAGTGTACTGGGCTGCCTCTGGTCTGTAAGCAGTCAGCTCTCCAAGAGGGGGCAGCTCCCTTCTGCTGTCAGCCTTTCACCTGGGTACAGAGTTTTTTCCACTCCCTTTTGCTTTAGGAAGTTAAGATCCAGATCAGTTCTCACTGTTTTGCAATTATCTTTTATGGCTACTCCCCATTTATAATAAAAAGGCATACGTCAAATAATTTCTTTCTCAGGCTTAGCATCACTCTGTCACTGTACATTTATTGATGGAATTACTACACTCATGTAATGTTTAGTGCAGGTGATCTCCAGTTTATACAGCACTGATTATATAATGTAGCTGATTATATAATGTAATACCAACCCTAATAATATTTTTATATTGTAGGTATTTATATTCACATAGGTCAAATAATACACATTTGTATATAATATATACTCTTAGATTGTATACACACTCTCCAACTTTTCAGATACAAGAAAGGGACACTGGTTTTTCCTAGTCTAGCTTCAGATTTGCCAACAGACCTGATTTCATTAACACATTTACAGATACAACTGTTGTGAAGTGCGTTTCCCCCTCTCATCTTTTTTTAATTCCTCTCTGAACATTCTGTGATTTGGCACCCAGATAATGTGAGACTCGATTGCACAATAGTTAGGTGCAACCACCCTACAAGCCTCAGACACATCTCGTCCTCCCAAACAGAATTCACTACCTCTGTAAGTGAAATTTGGGATGAAAACAATATAGAACTGAACAATTCATTAATCATACTGAATGAAAGGCATTTAGTTACAAGAAGGTATTGTGGAAGCACAAAGCATAAAGAATCAAATGCTCAGACTCAAGAACTTCTTTTTAAGAAGTGTGGGCTGAAGGAATTCTATATACTATATTTGGCTGTTAAAGCTAGTTTACATTGTTTGGTGATTAACTTCTTACTTTATAGAAAAAAAACCCAAATAGGCTGTGTAAAAAGAGAGATTAAAATAACACAAGCAAATACCTTGGAGTTTGTCATATTATTTGGTCGTTTTCGGCTATCTCTGGCTTCCTGTTGCAAGAGTAATTTCTGGTGGTAAAGCTCTAAATCTTGCTGCAGTTTGTTTAAAGCATCCTCCAGGGGAACCGTAGCTTTCTTAGTTTCAAAATACTGCTTTTTCCATTCCTCACAAACTACACAGGAAAACAGTAATACTTTTTGGTCTTGTTCATCTTATCATAAGGTTTGCTGAAGACAGTAATGACCAGCTGACCTAAAAAGATGCAGTTGGCCAATGCACACATTAAAAGATGGCAGTAGGTTTCTTTTTAAAAAAGCATTTAGTGAAAAATCTTCATTGAAATTACATTCACTGTAAATGCAACTGACTTTCTGCACAATCACCTGCAACAAAAGGCTCTCTCTGTCCACCAAGATACCACACAAGGTCCAACCCCAAAATTTCAGCTTGGGTGGTGTTCTGCAGGTTTCAGCTGCACAGTAGGTGCTCCTGACCTGTGAGGACCTGATGCCCACCACAGCCTGAAGTTCATGCGTTTACTGTAGCAGGATATTTATCACTGTAGACTTACACAAAATTTGAGCTCTGCAGGGCCAGAGAATTTGAACAGTACAAAAGCCCCAAGATTATGGGAAACAGTTATTTACCTGTACACTTAACTATGTGTCGTGGTTTAAACCCAGTCAGGTAACCTGTAACCCAGGACACTATGATTCCTCCTATGTTGATAATGTGATGTCTACAGCTGGCACACAATTTCCCCTGTATTTAGTGTGGTTGTCTTACAGCCGCATACATCTACTAGTCTGCAGTGTCTTAAGTGATTCCTTCTTTCAAAACATAGTTTAGGAAATCAGGACAACTGCTGCTCAGAAACTTACCTAAAAGAACCCAGCTCCTGGAGGACTATACAGTATGTAACTAGGCATGGCAGCATGGCAGCCTTAGGAGGGTATTAAATATAGACAAGACAGCTGTTCCTACAGAACATGCCCTTCTCTTCATACCTTGTGAAGAGGCATGTTTGCAAATGCACTTACTCACGAAACTCTACAGGTCTGATAAAAATATTTCAGAGGTAAAGACATTTCTTAAAAAACCTGCAGAAGCTGTTTGAATGCATGTGAAATAACCTTTATTTTACCTAACTGTATAACATAATTTAAGACAACACAGGAGCAACTTAGGGCTTACCTCAGTGGGGTAAATTACCTTGCCTTGAAGCTCCATGCTACTACAGATTCACTGCTTCAAGTACTCAAGTTTTTGTTGTGTTTTTTTTCCAACCTCACCATGCTGGAGAGTGCAGTGTAAAACCATGCCCTTGGAAAATAACTAGAAGAATTGTCTTCTCGTTTCAACAAAACTACAAATAATAGCTGAGACTCCTAGTGATTTAGCTGTACTTAAATACAAAGAGAATGCTCTCAAACATCCAAGTGATTAAACCTCATTTCTGGTTAACTGGAATGTGACTTAGGGAGGATAACTTAAGTATAAACTTAAAATAATTTTACAAAGAAAATTTGAGTGGGATTTAAATGAGATTTTAACTTATTAAAAAAAAACAAGGTTTGTCAAGCTTGCCATGACAGGTTTGTAACTTCCATGCCATAAGCTGAATACTATGAGATAGGAGGAACAAAAAGTATTATGCTGGCCATTTAACTAGAAGCTCTATCAGCACAGTAAAAACCTCTGTAAGCACCAGCTACAGGCAGGTTTAGAGTATGTCAGCTTCCCTGGGCTTCAAAGAGTGAAGGGGTCTGCAGTAACTTTCCGGTCACTGTATGACCTGGGATAAAAGCAGGATATTTTTAGGTTTATAAGACTATCACAAAAGTGGAAGGAAACATTGCAACCTTCAATCTTTTCAACACGCTGTTACACAAGTGAGCCTTGTTGGAGCTATTGGTTAGCGAACTACCCTCTCTGCAATTAAGCTCACTGATAAGGAGACAAATATTTTCATATTGGTTTCAGTGTCATTTCTCTATCATTCCAAATTACAAAATAAATTAAAGCATACCATGGTATCTTTTCAGCTTATGTTGTTCCAGTAGCTCTTTAACTTTTCTGATCAGTTCTTCTCTATTTTTTTCCATGTGCATTCTGTCTTTCTTCATTTGTTGCAATTGTTCTACCATCTTGTTTTCTAAAGATACATTTAGTAAGCACCAGGATACTATCAATGAAGATTTTTGTAATGCATCAATCATAACCATATGAAGCCAAAAAAGCCTCCAAAAGACTATTACCTGCTCAAAATATGTTGTGATAGAAACTGCAGTGAAATCTTGCCTTGAACTCCAGGTTGTCATAAGCAGAACAGACTTCCACTAGTCACAACAGGTCAGTAACTTACCTTCTCACTATCCTCCTACTTCACCACCACAGTGGAGAATCCTCAGCAATACTGCTATTGTTTTTTCTTAGCTATATTCTCACTTAAGTGAGCAGTATTTCATTTGATCTCCCCACTTTTCTCCTTTCATCCCCAAGTCCACAAACTGGGTTTTGTAGTGCTGGGAACCTGCCATGCTTTATGAACAGCCCAAAACAGCTGGAACTTTCCCACCACAAACTAAAATTTGTAACAACACTATGAATGAATGAATGTACAAATTCTTTCACAAACCAGGTATTTCTGTCTTCATTAACTATTCAGTCTTGATTGTTATCATAGAATCATAGCACAGTTTGGGTTAGAAGGGACCTTAAAGCTCATCCAGTTCCAACCCCGGCCACGGGCAGAGACACCTTCCACTAGACCAGGTTGCTCCAAGCCCTGTCCAACCTGGCCTTGAACACTGCCAGGGATGGGGCAGCCACAGCTTCTACACAACTTGTACCAGTGCCTCAGCACCCTCACAGGAAAGAATTTTGTCCTAACAGCTAATATAAATCTACCTTATATCAGTTTAAAGCCATTCCCCCTTTCCCTATTACTATGTGCCCTTGTAAAAAGTCCCTCTTCAGCTTTCTTGTCAACCCCTTTAGGTACTGAAAGGCAGCAGGGTTTCCTGAAAGGGTTTCCCTGGGTCCTTCTCTTCTTTAGGCTGAACATCCCCAATTCGCTCAGCCTGTTTTCACTTCATGCAATTTCTTGGAATCATATACTCACTTGCTGTCTGAATTGCAGGAACTTGATCTGGATTTACAGAAAATGTCAGGAAAGGTAGATTAGGAGGTGAAATATATTCTTTTGGACAACTAAGAGGATTTTGCTTGTTTTCACCAGCCTAGAGTCAAAAGACACAACTGTAAGTACATAACCCATAATCCTGAATAGCTCCATTAGACATATGCTCTGAAAGTGGTCTCACTGAACATGAGGGATGTCAGGGATGAATTTGAATTCTGCATATAAGCTTTTTTATTCTGTTACCAGTACAAATAATTACTAAATTACAAACAGATGGACCTCTGCAAATAAAACCAGAACACTGAACACTTGCATCACAGAGAACATGTGGACAAAAGCATAGACTATGGCTAATTGTTCTTGTCCATGTCTACAGCCCCACAAGTCATTGACACTCTCTGCAAGACGAGGAATAACAGGCTAACATTAATAAGACTGAGATAGTTATTATATATGTAGTTCCTGTTAAATTATGACTAGAGTTATAACTTCTGATGATTTCATTGTTGAGAAATATAGTTGATTTTTCTTTACCAAAAAGTAGCAGCGCATGAATTGACTTTTCTCAATTACTCTCAAATCTACATTTGAGAATTTAATCTCTCTAGTGACTTACCTCTCTTATAAAATATGTCTAGGTGGAGAACTATGTTTATTGCTCAATATTACTGAGAATATGTTACCTTGAAAAACATACCTGATTATCCAGTTTTTTACCAGGATTAGCTATAGACTTGCTAGTTCTGTACTGCAACAAGCTAAAATTAAATCAAAGCAGCAAGTGAAAATTTGTGTAATTAATTCCACCACCCCCACCCCCCCATTTTCCTTCATTTATCTGAAGTCTGGTTATGAATTAATATTATCCAAATGTTTTAGTAGAATCATTATTTACTAACCTTTGTTTTTTGCATGCATATTCTGTGGCTTGGTCTTCCATTATTTTAAGAATTCCAGCATCCTGTGTTCTGTCTTTTCTTAGTTTGGTATCTTTTAAGTGGTGATTATTACCCATGTTTGTTAGTTCTGTGACAGGATAGTGATGATCAAAATATATAGATTACACTCATAAAATTCAAGATGTTTTGACTGTTAATGCCTGGGCTTTCCAACCTGTATTAGAAATTTAGTGAACTGATCCAATAAATAATGTTATCTCTGGGGTTTGGAAATGAGTGAATAACAGAAGAAAGAAATAAAGGGAAGAAAAAAAATAAAAACCAAGGTGGTTTTATTTGGAGAATTTGTATGTAATTAGTTGTGGTAACCAGTACAAGAAACATTCTGACAGATAAGGAAACCACTCAGTTATTTCACCCTCCCTACACTAATTCCTTATCTAATGCTTTCTGCCTTTTAGAGACTGAAGATCCCCTACAGAGGAGGGAGCAGCATAGAAAGGGAGAGCAAAATGTTTTGAATTTAAATGTTAACGAATAAATGGTTTTTGCTTCAAAATATATACAATAAGTATTTCAAAATAAAATTGCTGACAGACTTTACCTTTACTACTACAAAATCCTATATCCTTCACCATTCAAAATAAAGTTATGGAAAACTTTTCAGTTATACCTTTACATATATAGATTTGTGTATTAAGTGGTTTCATACATAATACGAGTTAACATGATGATGAAGGGATAGAGCTATTTTTAACAGGTTATGATTGGAAACTGAAATTACTAATAATTCATCCATAAAAACATTTTCTAATAAACTCTCCACACACACCTCAAAGAATATGTCATTTAAGTAATATTATTATATTACTTATTATATTATATTAATATAATTAGGCAAATGTATCAATTATTGTGGTGTTTCCCTATATCAGTACACAGTGATAAAGAAGGACTGTAGTGACAGGACAAGGGGTAACAGGTTAAAATTTCAACAGAGGAAGATTAGATTAGATTGGATATAAGGAAGTAGTTTTTTCCTGTTAGGGTGGTGAGGCACTGGAATGGGTTGCCCAAGGAAGCTGTAAATGCTCCATCCCTGGCGGTGTTCAAGGCCAGGTTGGACAGAGCCTTGGGTGACCTGGTTTAGTGGGAGGTGTCCCTGCCCATGGCAGGGGGGTTGGAACTTAAAGATCTTAAGGTCCTTTCCAACCCTAACTTCTCTATGATTCTATGACTTACCCAATTTAAAACTATAGCTCTTTGAAAGACATTATTATTATTTTAAAAATCAGAATATTGTTCTGATAGCAGTATTACAACCCATGCTTTAATTATAGATTTCTTAAAACAAAGCTTTACTCTGCCCACTTTCTAAATACATGCTTTAGCAGAAGGATGACAATAAACAGTTGTACCCTTTTGGTACTTGATGTGATTTTGGGGTGTTTGATTATTCTGGCATTGTTCATCACTGTGGTTTACATGAAGAATAAGAGTGGTTCCTTTGGCTTCATCATTCCACTTAGGAGTGTTATGCTCTTTTTGATCTTGGCTAAGATGATTTTGCTGAGAGGTCTGTAATACCATATCACTCTTTCCAGACTCCAAATCATCTGCAGGATTTGACTGATTTGGTGTGATGAAAGATCCATTGGATCCATTTTGATCTGCATAATAATTGATATTAGAAAACAGAAATGTTATTTTACTGTAAATGTTAACCATAGTATTTATGCTTCTCCTTCATCGTCCTCCTTCACTACATTGGTTAAACTTACCTTCTTCTCTAAGCTGTATATGATTTTCTTGAATCCTGTTGTTATGGTCTTGCTTATTATTTGTGTGCAAAACTGGAACAGGTTCTTTCTCTCCCCATTCCACAGGACCATGCACTTCTTTATTTTCTAGCTGATTACTGCTTTGTATGCTTTCTAAAAATTGTTTGCTTGTTTCAGGTTTTTGTTGGGGAAGACTGGATAATCCTGATTTATGATCAGGCCTGTTAGCTTCTCCATTAAAGTGATGGCTTTGTTGAGTTGATGCTGATAATGCATAAACACCTTCAAAGTATTCCACTTCAGGTAATAAATATAATTCAGGATAAAGTGCCTAAAATATGCAGTATATTCATCAGACATGAGATGACATGTACAATGTAAAAAATTTCTGAAAATGATACCTTAAAAGCCATTCAATACATACATAAGGTGGAGCAAACGACTTCAGTTCCAGCTCTGTTTCTTGTTTTGCTTTCACCTTGGAAGGTAAAGTATGGAAGTGTAACCAATAAAATACTTTTTTATCAACAATGTTGCATATCACTTAATTTCTTTATTCTATCATCCTCTTTACATAGTACATTTTTTCAGAACCAGCACTATTTGTCTTCTGTAATGGCCTCATGGGGAGGAAGGAACACAGACTACTATTGTATTTTCTGACATAGCACTGAAACTTTATTTTGTTTGTTTTTCAAAATCTCAGACCCACAAGAGTGCATGGATGTACTCAATATATTTTGCACTTTCTCTTATGGTTCAAGGAAGCTGATCCAACAGTCACAGCAGAAGAAAGTCACTGACTTTCTTTACCAGTAGTTGCTTCAAGATGAATCTGACTAGAAATGCTGACTCTCACAAAATTTTCTCTATTTACCTAATAGTGCAAAATATTTAATGTATGTAGAAAAAAATATCTATACTATCTATTTATACTCTTCATATGATAGAAACATCCTTTTAGATTTCAACAAATTTTGTCCTAAAACCAAAGTCTAAGATAATCAATGTAAATTTGTAAGATGAGATGAAAACAAAAACAAAAAACAAAAAAAAAAAAACAATAAATAAAATCTGTGTTTACATTTAAATAATGAAATTGAACTAAACATGGTGCCTAATTTTATTCTCAGTAATGGCCAGGCAATGCTACTATTAGAGACATGGGCTATATGCAAGAAAAATAAGAGCAAATGAACATTATGTTGGTTTACATTTCTTTTCCACTTAAAGACCCTTACTTGCAAGTTGGGTACAGCTGTTAGCATTGCTTACATTGTTACTGTTGTGAAACAGAAGACTGGGGGGTAAGAAACCAGTCAACAAATATTTGATCATGGAGATATGATTCAATGAGGTTACCATGACCCTAAATAACAAACAAACCAGTTAGTTGGTTTATTGCTTTCCACTTTGTTATAATGTTTAACATCGAGCAACAGTAAATATGCCAACTTAAAATTATATGTCTAACTCATCACTAAAAATCTTTATTTGTATCTACCAATATCTTTAATTCTCTATTAAAGTAAAATATTTTATTAATTCGCTGACATTCTAAAAGAAGCTGGAAAATTTCTCCATTTATCTCATAACTATCAGTGGGAAAGAAAATACACCATCTTACTTATGGTCATCCAGTTTAAAAGACCTGAATTCTTTGAAGACATATGCACATTTTCAGATTCAGATTGTGTCCCAGTCTTTAAGTTTTTCCACCAGTTTTTTTGCATATTACTCTATATCTACTCTAGTCTTCTGTGTGAGTAATTTTAGTGGTAACTAAAAGAATGACACCAAATTTCCAGCCTGGAATTAATTTACAGGTCCACGAGAGACAGGTGAAATGAGAGGAGAAAGAAGTATTCTATACTTGCACATACGACTTAAGTCTGTGCGTGTTACAAGAAGAAACTTTCAGTTGGACTGATTTTCAGGGGTATTTAATCTTCAGCTATAGTTTCTAAGGTATAAATATACAAAGAATCAACATGAGGAATAGCTATGATTCAGAAATTTAGGGGGTTGATTACATGCATTTCAGGCTGTACTACTGGACTAATTAGTGGAACACATGTACATCCAGAGACTCATCTTTTAAAGGCTTTTGGGCAGGTCACAGCAAGAACCATTAGAGGAACTCTGACTTACTCAGCTACCCTTGTAAATTCTTCAACTTCCATCTTCCCAAACATGTACTGGTAATAATGACCTTAAGGGGATTTTTTTTAATGCAACAAGATTTGTCATATTTAATCCACTGACTTATCAAAACTAACATGTTTTCACTGGATGGCAACTAATTACATATGATGGTTTAAAGGGCGTTTCTAATATACCTGTCCAGCTGTGCCTTTGTATTTGGAGATGTGTTCTTACAGGAACTTACGCTCCGGCATGTTTAAAAAACCGAAATGGTAACAGTGCTCCTGAGGTTATCTCCTTTTTATGTATTTTGTTTATCTAATCTAATCTGCAGGAACGTGGTTGACATTGTAAAACAAAAGAGCATTAAAGAAAAAAAGTATTAACTTACCACTACTAGTCTTTTCCCAACGCATTTTAAAAATCTGAATTTATCTGCAGCTGAAACTCCACCCAGGTACTCTCCAAGCTTCTCCCGTAGCACTCTTAATGTGATGTGAGGAGATACCCTAGAATGTTGTTATTCATTAATACATCTGTAAGATCAAATAATGATGGCTAGTTAGTAAGAGGGGGAAGATAATGCTATATACATACTGGCTTGCATGGACAGAATGACCAAAAATGGGAACTATGTCCTGGAAATGACTACTGTCCAACTACATACAGGCCAGAAAGTCCTTGTGTGCTAGAGTCAGAACATCGTATCAGGTTATGGTAGACTGTATTACAAAGGCTGTCATGACATTAACTAGCAACATTCATATTTTAGGAACCCCATAAAAAGGGATAATATGGAAATAGCTGAAATTTGAAAACTGCTCCTTCAGAATGCTCTTGCTCATCTGCAGATGGGTAACAGAAACATTAGAAACTACAATCATGTGTTTCCATATAGGTGATGATGTTTCATGGGGCCAGTCTAGGACTGTAGAACATACCCCTTCAAGCACTAAGGGCTAGAGAAGACTACATTACTGTCCACTTTAAATAGCAGGCACAGTTCTTTCATTTTGTCTTCTCCAACACAAATTGACAGTTGGGTGTGTGCATGTGTACATGCAAATGCATTTTAAATCAAAACCAAACACTGCAGTGTGAACATTTCCACCCTAATTTGAGGATGAAAGAGCTGATGCAAATATGAATTGCATCATTTAATGTACTACTGGAAACCATGCAAATATTAAAGTAATGAGTTCAGTATAAAAGTCACTGTAGAATAAAAAGCTCCACAGAATAAAACCAAATGTGCAAGAGGCACGCAAAAGCTCTCCAGGATATCAGAAGCAATTCTAATTGCTCTTGTCATAAACTGGGGAACAAATTCAGGCCTGAGACTGTTAATCACCCATGCTGATTGTTTGTATAATACCTAGGCATGATTTTGGCTCAGGCAGCTATCTCTCTTCAAGCAATGCACAGACATAGCTTGGGGGATAGCACATGCCATTCTCACTAAACAGTATGGACAAGAACATGCCATCCCTTCAACTTCAGTCTTCAACTTTAACCTGTTAGGGTTTGTTTCCACTTTCAGACAGACCTATTTGCTTTCATTTCACACCCTATGTATGTAAAACCACCGCCAGTTTCATATCATAAACACAGTACTTCAATGGGCTACAATGATTCCCTTGCATGATTTAAAACACCTTGGACTTAGAGCATCTCCCCAAGGGGATAAATCTGCCTTGTAGCACAGGCATGCAGCAGAGGAGACCAAAGTTTGCAGAGAGGAGACACTGAGGCCACACTGCTTGGTGCCTCCCTCTTACATTTAGCTCCTGTTTATTTCTTCCCCAGCCATTATTTGCCCACACTTGCTGCAGATATTAGCCCTAATGTCAATTATTTCAAATGTATAAAGAAATATGTGATAGATACATAACTCAATACACACCCTTCCAGGGTCTTATGTGAGACCACATATGATCTGTAATTCAGGTATCTCTCATGCACTATCCTTTCTTCAAGCTGATGTCTCAGAGAAGACATACTCCTTCAATTGTCTTCCAAAACCCAATAAATGCAAGCTCTTTCAGAGGAAATTCTATCATGGCACATCCTTCATTGGTAATGCCTGTCCAAAACAGCCTAGAAATCTTTATCTATGTTTTTATGAACAGCAGGGAAAACATCTAAGTAACTACAATGTACCCTGTGAGAAAACTATCTAGGTAGAACCTCAGATATAGGACAGCAATTTATCTGCAAATTATTTGCCTGCGCAATGCCTAGGAGCATATTATGATATATTTCTTATTCTCTGCCACTGGCTAGCAGAAGACTAGTCCTTTGCTTCAGGGTGTTCCTTTAAAGATAATGCAAACTAGAGTTCATTGCAGCTATCTCATCTGGAAACAGCAAACATGGCTTCTGTGGTGAGGAATGAGGAATAAATAAAAGATCACAGAGGCTGAGAAATCAAGTTCATGGGAACAAGAGCTCAGGGCCACAGACAATTACACACTTAATACTTTCCTCTAATTTCATAGTTAATGGAAGTGGCCTGTACTTAGTCCTAGGAATCCTTTGTTAAACTGACTCAGACAGTACTAGGATTGTCAAGCTGACTGGACAGTGCTATCAACAATGTCCAAACAGCATTTGTACCAGCAAGGCTGTTCTCTCCCCCTCTCCATAGTAAGCTTTTTTAAAATAATTTTGTTTTTAAAGACAGTGATACAATGGCCAGGTGCTAGTTATTGCTAATGCAATGTACTGCAGCATTGCTGAGTATCCATAGAATAATTAATTAGCAATTATTTAAAACTCATTAGAAAGCAACAAATACCCCATCAGATATAAACCCACCTAAGTTGATGCCTCAGAACTGAGCCTCAGGGAAATAAATTTACACTAGAGAACAGAGGGCAGTGACAGATGTGCAATCATATGAAATGATCTGAAGTTACCACTCCAGCTGTAGGCATTTTGCACCTCTGCTGGAGACTAGAACAGCAAACAAAACAGATACATACACTTATTTCCTCTGGTTTTGAGCAGCCTTTCAACAAAAGAAGCTGTGAGAATGAATACATTCTGCCCCACATGCTCATACCTGACTGCTGTCAATCTTTTCAGCTACACAGTGTATTAAGTAGAAAATACAACCCTATTTTAAAGTAGTTAAAACCCATATTCCCCGTAGTTTAAGATAAATTGTCAGGTTTTGCTCAGGAGCAGACAAGGTGCATGTAAAAGCTCCACTCATCTTTACGTTATTTGATTTTTCTACAACTTGTTATCACACTAGATACACACAGAATTTGTGAGTAAAGTGTTTAGGGGTACAAAAAAAACTTTCAAAGCTGTGAAAGATTATAACTGCAGCTCATTGCACGAGGTTTGGGCCTAGGACATGGGATATTCTTTCACTAATTCCTCTAAACAGCTACTTGAAAGCACACATGGCACATGGTGTTGTGTGCAATCTTTCAGAAATACTACTGAAGAAGAAAGAAGATGTGCTGGTAGTTGTACGGGATGTGATGCTTTGCCTTGAGAAACATGGTTCAAGCTTTTTATTTGGACTGAGAGAACTCAGATCATCATATCCCTGTTCCTGGGAACTAACAGGCTATCCTATCTTCATCAAGCCACTCTGTCTTCAGGCTGGTCCATATGCAAAAAGAACTCAAGACTTTGATAAGTAGGCTCAAGTAGACAGAAAGAATGTAAGACTGTGATTTAAGAACATAAATTATTCTGCAGAAATACTAGCATTGCTCTGGAAGTACGTTTCAGTGGTTTACACCAAGGGCTGCAATGGAGCTAAGCCTGATACAAATCCAAATAAACCTAACACTAGTCATGGGCATCACTTACTCTCCAGAAATTATTGAAGAACAAGTCTCTTCTGACAGATGTAATCGTGCTTCACAGAGCAACAGTTCAACTAAATTATTAAAGGACAATGTAAAGGACCTACCATGTACATGAACCCTAAGACTATACCCACCTTATAAATCCAGCTGAGATGAATTTGCTAGTAAGAGCTACAGGAACTGTATTCAGCTTGAAGTTCCACACTTCTTCTGGGACATAAAAAACATGAAACTCCACCAACTAAATAAAGAACATATAATCATAACTGTAGATATATTATAACCCTCTTATTTTCCCTTATTTTGCTTAGGTGGACTTTCAAATTCTGGAGGCAGGAATGGTTTCTTCGATGGACTAGAAGAGTGAGCACCCATCTGACAGTGATGACTAAATAGTGAGAACAGCAATGAGTAGAGCAGTTTGTGACTGAATGATAGCTGACAACATCAAACTAAGTCACATTAGAAATGCTCTCAGTGGAAATCAGAGAAAAGAGAGCCTGGCTACGGCTCTATGTCACTATGACAGCAACGGACAGTTTACCAAAAACACTTGATACTCTGGAGCATGTCCTGGTTACATAAATACTTCAGCTGAAATCCTGCCTTTGTTCTTCTTATAAATAATGCAAAGTCCTGAAAGCTGTATCCAAATAGCACCATAACTTGACCTTGCCAGAAGAAAAAGAATTCAAAATATTTCTGGCAGTTCTTAATAATATTAGTTACCTTGGAAGCACAGAAATGCTCCTGGTAATGGCTGCAAAAACAGTAACTAAGCACGCTCTGAACAAGGTTCACTTAGACTGCGTTCAAACCTGTGGCGGGTGTGGGACTGTTAATGTCCAGATCTTGATACTTTTACTGAAAATTAGATGGTATTGATAAGGATGAAACATTTCCCATAACTAGAAGCCATGGAAATAAGCTGTATTACATATTCCAGCAATTGTTGTGTTATTAAACTTAACTAGAAAATTAGAAAATGTTACTAAATGTACTAGAAAACAATAATTTCTATATATGCTATGTTAAAAGCACTTTTTTCCCCTCTCATGTCTCCTAGAAATGGTGCAGTGTCGCTTCTCGTAATATTTTATATTTTTAAATGTGAAATCAAAAAACACTTCATGGAAAAGTACAAGAACTCTCACCTGGGATGTCTGAGGTCTCCTTTGACTGAACAACATGTTGCTCCCTGTACTTGATCACAGCAAATGACAGGTGGGCTTTATAATTTTCTTTTTGAGTTAATCAGTCTTTAAGAATGAGTTTCATGATTGATGATGTTACAAGAGCAGTTACTCCATTAATATCCTTTATTTTCACTTACTGTTCTTCTTTCCATTTATGAAAATGGGAAAGTAGTTTCTGTGCTGAAACGGAAAGTTCCAGCTAACTGCAGACAAACAAGACTCAACCACACCTTCTACACAATGAGTATCACCTAAGTAACCGGGGAACTGCTAATCACAGCCCTGAAGCTCCCGCAGATCTGCGCTGGAGTATTTTCTCTTACCATTTTCTCCCCTTTCATAAAGACTCTTTGATTGCATGTGGTTTTCTACACATTGTACTGCTTTCCTAAAAACAAAGACCTAAATCCCCACAAAATGGGATTCTTGCAGGATCTGTGTTTATCTCTGATAAAGGGACAATTATTGTGAACTGCAGCCAAGCCACATGTACAGCATATTGTGCTGGCCAAACACAGTATTCCAAGCAAACCTGACTGTTCTGGGTGACCATGCCAGAAAAATCCTTCCATAAACCATGGTTTTGCCTTAACCTTTTTATGAGTTTCCTCTCTTTGGAGGCTCTTCCAGCACCTCAGAGGTTACAAACCACCTGATTTTCAGTCTGCTCAATGCCTCACTGTTGTCCTGATCATCTTGCAGCTCTCCCTCATACTCCTGCTATTTCCAATTCACTTTTTCTTGGGCACATGTGACCAGACCTTCCAGACAACCTTCCAAGTCTCACTCTGGCTCCATGAGGTGGAAATAAGATTTCCCCATGTCAGCAGAAAGCACCTGCTTACAAAGGTCTTTACTTGCCCCTTCACAAGTACACCACATAAGCTCTCACAACCAACCTCACTGTAACATCCCATCTTTTCCCCAGTTATTCCCAACCAAAGACACAGCAGGTTTCAGCACAGGTTCCTCCCGTTAGTCCCTGTACACATGCAGGTTACTGCACTTTGCATGACAACATGCTTTGCCCCATGCCATTAGCCAAGGCTTCACCGTCACTCCTGGGCACATTTTGTGGTGAACACCCTTCACCTCTAGGCTGCTGTCAAGACCCGAACATGCTGACAGGAGCAAAGTTGGTAACTCCATTGCATCTCAAAATAAGCTCCAAACTAGTAACTCTCCAAGATTCCCCACCTTGGTCCTACCAGTCTTATTTTAAACCCACTTTATAGACGCATGGGGAAGGAGGCGTTTCGTTTCTGTGCTTCCAGGCGGTGCCCCCTCCCGGGCACACCGAGCTCGCACCGAACACCCACTGCCCACAGGGCATCACACCCGCCCGCCAGCGGTCCCGCAGCGCCCCCCGCGGCACCGGCACCCCCGGCCCTGGGCGCGGCGGCCGTTGCGCAGGCGCCGCCTGGTCGGAGAGTTTGGGACGCGCCGGGAAGTTGTGCTGGGTGTGCAGGCGCTGCCGCTCCCGCTCCAGCTCCCACCATGTCAGGTTCCTCCAACGTGGCGGCCATGAAGAAAGTGGTGCAGCAGCTGCGCCTGGAGGCCAGCGTGACTCGCGTTAAGGTGAGAAGCGGAGCTGGGACGGGGCGGACGTGCCGCCATTACACCGCCCCTGGGGCGCGCCCCACGGCGCTCCTCGGAGGCTGCCCGGCGGGGATGGGGCTGGGCAGGGTCGGGACCGCCTGCTCCGACCTACCTCACCCCATCACAGGTTATAGCCCACGGCTCCGTCGGGCCGAGCAGAGGTTTGGGGTGGCTGCGCAGCCGCCTCTTCTACCGCTGCCGCCGCCCCGGAGCTCGGCCCGTGCGAGGCCCGCGTCGCCCCCTCGCTTCCTGCAGCCTCCCGGGTACCCGGAGGCCGGTGTGCAGCCGAAACGCTCCCCGGGATGGTGGCTGTGCCCTTCCCTTTAATTTCCTTTTTCTGAGAAGCGTCTTCTTCCATCGTTCTCTTGGGAAAGGGCCGCTAGAGTAGGGTTCACAACAGGTTGCCCCGGCTAGCCTGGCACTGTAAAATGGAGACTTTGCTGCAAGACGTACCGAGTACATTTAACTCGTGCGGTTTGGGGTTGAGATGGGGCCCTGCCAAATTAAGGGAAACTCTGGGCAAACCGCAAGTACAAGATACCAGTGAAGATGCTACTTTCTGAAACTTTGATCCGTATTTTTTACAAGTTCAGAGTTACAATAGAGAAAAGAATGACAAAGAGCTCTTACTGCCTTGTCTTTAGGTACTACCTACCAAAACCACTCTCTCATCATTAGTATAGGTTTCCAATGGAAGATAAACTAGCAGTTCAGTCAAGTAGAGCATCTTACACTGTAAGCTGTATTTTTACACAATTTATGTTAGTACAAGGTTCTTCATATATTTAACAAACCCATCTCCAAGATGTTGCTCATCTTTCACTCTTCAGGCTTGAAAGATTAATGTGAACATTTTCCAAATTGTCACTCTATTACTGCGCAAATTCTTAAACCAAAAAAATGACAATGGAAGCACTGTATAAAATCTAAACAAGCTGTACTGCAGAATGATTAGCAGTATTCTTTATACTTTTGATGTAGTTACATCCTCAGTAACGAGTGGTCAGTGAATTCTAATGCCAACTTTTATTATGACTAGGTTTCCCAGGCTGCAGCAGACTTGAAGCAATTCTGCCTGCAAAATGCACAGCATGATCCCCTACTGACAGGAGTATCATCGAGTACAAACCCCTTCAGACCCCAGAAAGTTTGTTCATTTTTGTAATTACATGAACTACTTCGGTATTTTTCAGTGGTAAGTTATTGAATTACTATTCAAAAATGGTTCTGTCATTAAAAACAGCTGGCTTTAACTGAATGAGACTGCCTGTATTAAAAGTATTCAGAAGAGACATCTGACTTCTGCAGCTGGTATTGGTCTAGATCCCCATTTTGAGCTCCTCCTCCCCCCCTGTTCTGGTCATAGCTCTGTGCTGGACACATGCTGTTCATAAGTATTATGAGCAGTATTTATGTTGCAGGCCTTCCTTCTATCTGTCTGTTGCTGCAGCAAAGTAGTAGTGGAGCCAGCTACTACTGTTAGGACCAACCTGGTTGTGCTGTATTTTCCTTCTGTGTAAGGGTGTTACTTCCCTTTTTGCATGTAGAATTACTTGCCTGACAGCATACATGGTGAATCCTGACTGTGACAGATAAAGCAAACTTTCATTCTTAAACTTTTAAAGAGCACTATCAAAGATGAGTGGTAGCCTCCAAGAGCACTGTCCCCTTACAGGGCATGCCCTCTAAGCCACAAGGAAAAAAGAATTTTGTGAAAGCCCATACTCCACTCACACAAGCTACTACATGGCTAGCAAGTTTAAGTTAAATGGAAACACTTGAATGCTCATTTGACTTTTCATTCCATAACTTTTATAACTTCAGTAGCAATACTGCTATGACTATGAAGACTACTCACCTGGTATTCCTTGGAAATTCTGATTAGATTGTAGACTAACCTTTTAGAAAGGTGAGTTGTAGATCGACAGTAGTCTCACTGAAACTCAAAATAGTTTGCTATTTTGCCCTCAGTAAACGCATGATAATTTTACCATGTGTCCTCCTCCCCACTGCCCTTTGATTTGGATCTGTTGGTGGTGAGGGCATATACATTATTTCAAAGCATCAGATACGCAGTGAACCATAGTGCACAATCCTTACACATCTTGTAGTGAGCCTTAACCTTAAAGAATCCTGGTTTTGTAGCTGACTTACATCACCCAAATAATTGTAATTTGCTAGATTTGCATTGTGATATTTAGGCAGCTTTATAGAAAAGTGACCACAGTCAGACTGGGTTGTTAGAATTGTTCTTTAAAACTGTTATCCCCTCAAGCAGACTGTAGAAAACTTCTAAAAAGTTTGTGTATAAACAACGTGGTTTGTGCTAGTAATAATAACAGTATAGAGATTGATGCTTAACTATATACACTTCCCCCATTGTTTTGAGCATTGAATTACAGCAGTGAACTGAAGTCTGATTTAGAGTTCTTGCAGCTTTTAAAGTTATTTTTATTGTGAATTTTATCAACTATTCTTATTTAAAAGATTTTATTCTTGGGCACTAACTTGTGTTCACACTACTGTAGCATCAACACCAAGCAGTAATTCAAGGAAATCAGATCATGTGTAAGCATTATAAACTGCTAACCTATAAAAAGACAAACTCTACTTTTATCAGTGACGCATACTTGCCCACTGAGGTTTGCCAAGGTCTAGTAATTCCTGGGTGTGGATGTCAGGAAATAACTATCCTCTATCTTGCACACGCAGGGCATAAAAGGCTTATTATTTTCTTTCTCAACTACAAGCCTTATCTTCCATCTTTCTGAATTTGGAGCGGAGCACTTACTTCTGCTGAAGTTACAGGCAGAAGTCGTAACAGCAGCTTAAGTTACACTACCTATACGGAAAATGTCTTTGACTTTATCTCTTGCAAGCACATCCTCAAAATAGGCAATTTCTTAGTTGTAATCCTGGTGTTTTCACAATGAACCCATGGAATTCATGTTTACAGTTAGTACCACCTCTGTAGAGTGAAAAGTGTAACTTGTTAGTTACAGACTTCCCCTGCTTTTCAAAGGCAAAGTAGATACCTGGCATTTCTATAGGTGCCAAGTGATTTGGAACAACTTTTTCTGTCCTTCCACTTTTCAGTTCTTTTCCAACAGCTTTGATTATCGTTTTGTGCCCTTGGGCTTCATGGTTTGAAAAGTTTATTCTATAAACCAATAGTAGTTTCCTAAGACAGCTGTGGAAAAAAAAGAGGATTTTGTTTTTTCTAAATAGCAGTACATGGCATACTCTGAAGGTGCCTGTTCTTAGAGTTGCTTTATTTAGAACTGATACTTTTCTAACTATATTTTGTTTTTTATTTTCAGATCTTTTAGCATCTTTTCCTAGCTGCTGATGTGTGTATGGGCAGAGTGCCTCAAGGAGTGGCCTGGTTTGAAGTCTGTACAAAAGCTTAGCTTTCATGTGCCAAATCTAACTGTAAAATTGCTACTGTCGTCAAACTTCTTACCATCTACCTCTCCAAATGAACTGTATGCTAGTAAAATACTTCTGTTTCATAAGGGAATCAGTTTTATATGCCAAGCAAAAAATAAAAGTGTCTTGACTTAGTCTGGTCTTGAAATTACTGTAAAAAGTTGATTAACACCTGGCTACGTTGACACCTCACCAGTTACTGCATCACTACAGCAGCTAGGGAGTATACAGAGGAGTCTGTCCTTACATATTCCATGCTGCTGCAAGTTTTCCTGGGGTCTTACAGAACAATGAATATTCATCAGTACTATATTCAGAAGCATAAAAGAAAAATAAAAAATAATTCAACTATACAGCCTGTCCCATATCATAGATGGGACAGAGTAACTTTATCTTGTTCTACCCTAATAGATGACTTACTCTATCAGCCATCTGACTCTTTTAGATGAGTATGAAAAAGCTCTTACTATAGCTGCATATGAAAAAGCAATTCAAAGAAAACATCTTTAGCTGCCAGTGAATGTGTAAAACCTAAGGCAGAACAATATTCTGCAGATAATACCCACTCAAGTATAGCTGTGAGGCTGAAGAACCATATTTAAAGTTTTAGTGGGGAAAACCCTGCTCAGAGACCTGACTGTTCAGCTGAGCAGCATTTTTAGATGAGACTGCTTTATGGCCCTATGAATTCTTTC